AGACGGTTCGCCGGCGTCGTAGTCGGCATTGTCAGTAAACTTTGTCAGTTTTAGTGGTGCTAAGAATGACAAGGCTCACTGACAATGCCGGTGAAACGTTTGGAAGTGTATCAAGTCCACAATCCGACTGGAAATAATCATGAATACTATGGACTTCGGACAAAGTGCGTTCCTCTGGATTCCCTTGACAATAGGACCAAGTTTCGAAAACAAAGCTGAACAACGTCAAGCAACAAAAAAAGACAACGAATCTACTAAAGGCGACACTATCTTGATCTTCATGCCTTCGATAAACAATGGTAGCTTATGGAGCATAATATCAAAGCGATATGAGTAAATTAAAATGAAATACGGAAATATTGAATTTCAGTAGATTTTCCTCCCAGAGAGTTAGCTTATTCATAGTAAATGGCAGTTTTGATCTGGCATCAGCACTCCATAGCAGGATCCGATACCGGATGGTAAATGGAGTGATAACGTCACAACGACACTCACGACAGAATTTGAATCACGTTGGGGGCCTGATGAGGCTTAGGTGAAGTCGAAACTGCAGTCCACTTTTGATGAATAGCCTTCTCAGAAGCAAGGTTAAGTAAAATGACACCATGACATAAACTCATCCAACTGCAAGAACGCTCAGCTATCAGTCCATAAGTCACCCTAAGAAGCATAGGGTGGTTAAGTACTTATTCAAGACTTACTGATAGTATCGAAACTTATTTATGAGTTGCATTAACTTATTTGTTTTAAAGGACATAAGGCCTAAGCTTTTTCTCCAAATAAATGTTTAAATTTAAACTGTATTTGCCATTTAAAGAAAGATTACTTAAAGTGATCCAGAACTTGTTTTAAATAGCAATTTTTAAGTGAAAATATAAGACAGGTGGACTGGGATTTCTTAGCTCGTTGGATAAGCCTTTTAAAAAATTTCCTACAAGATATAAGCCTGCACTTAAACGACAGCATACATCAATCCAATTTGAAGGCATCTAATTCACCACAGACAGATAGCTTATATAGTCTCCAAAGGAAATAAGTGATCTCGTTAATTATTCCTCTGTTATTGATGTTGATGAATAGGAGAGCAGAAAAGAGCAATAGAGCCTGGCCAGAATGCGATAGAGTTTCCTCTACTCCGCATGTTGTTTTGCAGTAAGTCAAAGGGACTCACCGATGTCTGGATGCAATTCCGGAAGGCGATAGCATAGACAGGCCTCGCGCTCAGGGCTCAAATCGAGCACCTGTAGGTCAGTAAGGCTGTATAGCTGATGCGGAACATTCGTGAGTCGCTTTCCACGCAACTTCAACTTCCGAAGACCAGGATAGCGAGGATCATCTGTAACAATAATGTGCCTAAGGTCGTATATGCGGTCGCCCACTGAGATAATAGGAAAAGTGTTCTTGCCGTGCGCCATTGAAAACACTGCTTTCAAATGAAACGGAGCGAGAATGAAACTAATTCGACCGAGAGAGAAGAAAGCGGATGGATGAGGCGGGCAACTAAGAACACTTATTGATATAAAGACTGAAGAAATTAACAGTACAAATGACAGTGAACAGATATCAACTTAAAAGGAGCCAAAGCTAACAGATAATAAGAGCAGATGTAAAGGTTTAGAAAGAAGTAATGACCAATCCGATATGAATATTTACTAAAAGATCGATGTGAGCTTAAGGGCAGGAGCAAGAGCAGAGATCGGGTATGAAGCCAGTAAAGAACTCGAAAAGGAGTGTGCAAAAGTGTAAGAGGACAAATTTCACTATTTTCAACAACCTTGGTGCAATTGATGATTAAGTCTAAACGACATCCAATGAGAAATTTCAATATTAATTTGAAGAAAATTGATCAAAGCTTGATTTTAGTCACATCTAAGTATACAATATCATATGCATAGGCTATAACCACATATACAAGCTAGCTTTCCTTCATAGAGTAGATGGGACATCTTATTGGAGATGTTGGGCTAACTGTAGTATAATTCCACTGCACTACTATGTCAAGAGGTGGCAATTTTTAGGTAAAATAAAAGAGTACAGTGCTTCATTTAAGAGGCCTACCAAAATTACTAAAATGATGATCAAATTAAAGGAAATTTGTAAATAAGTTTTATTTATTTTAAGAGTGGTAAAATTGTAAAAACATCAATAAAACGATCGTAGTGAAAATAACAGGTTTGGTAGGCATAATAAAATGCTATGAGAAAAATCTTTTAAGACATAAATTTGTTTGCAAATAAAATGTAATTTTTGTTCTGATAATTCAATAGACGGTGACAAGCTCACGAAAATACAGAGGATGACTCGTCTTAAAAGCTTTGAATACAAAAGTACGAAGATGTGAGAAGTGTTAAAAAATAAAAATAATTAAAGGGAAGTTCAGCGATGAACTCTTGAAGTTGTTTTATCTGTAAAATTTGCAGAATCCATTTAAAGTTGTGCAGTGCAAGAGGTAGTGGAAGAGAATTTAAAGAAAAATCTTAAGTGGCAAATAAAAAGTAGTGATGCGAATATGATGTAGTGGAGAAGTATAGGAATAAACAGAATATGGAAAATGAACAAACGAGATAATAAAAATAAAAAAAGCAAAGAAAACATGAGGAAAGGAGAATGTGATGCGGATAAAAAAGAATATGAGTATCATGGAATGAAAGCATAGAAAGGAAATAACTTATAACAAATAAAAGGTTAAAAGAATACAAGTGCCAAATAATAGAGATAGCTCATATAATATAAGGTTTGTGGGGGTGGTGGTAGCAGAGGAGGAGGACAAAAGCACGATAACGATAAGACAAAGAATACAGATGGTAGAAAAAGAAGAGAGGAATGCTCAGATAACCAAACCTCTTAGAGATATGCCTGCCAGCCAAAATACATGCAAGCCAAATTTGCTGGCTCACAAGCCAATCTGACCAGTAAAGCGACTTGTCCAGAAACATCTAAATGACCCAAACCGAGGCCACTCCCACCAACACCACCGAATCCACCTCCAGTTCTAGCTCCTTCCAGTCCTATCCCTCCATTTAAGGACGTTGTACTCATTCTGGCAGGCTGATCTGTTTGGCCGCAAGTCAGAGTGTCTCCCAGGCCACCGATACGGCCCTCCAACTTGCCGCGCACGGAGAGGAGCACACGCTCAGCTAGTTGGTTGTTGGAGTAATTGTAAGCTCCTGAGAAAAAAATAGGAATATATGCACATCCTCATAAATATACTAAGCAATATATTAGAACTATGCTGGCTTCAAAATGGAAACCAATGATCTTAGGATGAGCAAAATGACATAAATGCATCCAAGTGGTAGTAGTTAAATAAACCGATTTCATTTAATAGCCAACGATAATGAAATCCGCCTGTTTGAGTTGTGTCTATTTTGCTGAAACAAGCCAGTAATAAACATTCATTCAACTTAACTTGCTGAAAGCCCAAATATATGAGCTCTTCCAGATAGGTGGAAAAAATGGATACCTGATAATAAAGTATAGCTGATATAATAAAGGCAAAGAGATGAAAAAACTTACAGATTATAGCAAATCGCCATGTAACGAGTTATATCTCACTCTATTTGAGCGTATCTTCTTCAGACAAAAACGATATAATTTCGGTCCCAATAAGATCCCTAAACGCAAACTGGCATCAAATATGAGTAACTTAGTCGAACAAGCAAATACATGCTTGTCTCCTCGAAAGCCCATCATCATTGTGAGAATCCCGACTTCCCTTGAAAGTCGTAACTGCCCTATGACTCATTGGCACAAGTTGCTGTGCAGCGTAGAGGTAAAGGATGGGACACTAAGCACACAACCCGATTTCGAGCCATTTTAAGTGCTGATTAGGAAAAGCATAACTGCAGTTCATTCTGGATAAGAAAACCTGTTTGGATGCAAAGCTAAATAAAATTCAATGATACCATGAGGCGTATTCATTTAATCTTATAATATTCCAATATTATTTCTTCGTCACTTTATGCTACCTAGGATAAGTACATTTCTTATACAACAAATATAAACAGAGATGTTTCTGGTTTAGAACACCAAGTACGATACGGTGTAGGATAAAGAAGATCGCACTCTGAGAAGATAGGGGAAAAAACAACTTTTTAATGACCTATTTCACTTCTAGCCAACAAAATAGAATGTAAGCTAAAGACATTTTCATTCTTGGACTAAGTTTTCAACCTTGCCTAAATTGTATCAACACTCCCAGCCGATTTCAACACGTGTAGGTGTAGAATGAGTGGAAAATGCTTTACATTCTTGACAACATAACCCAGAAAACAATGAGTTACGCAACTATTTTGTGATGCAGCACGAAAATGGATCATCCCAAACTTACCATCTGGTTATCGCTAGCTGGAATCAAGTAGTCACAGTCACTTACCGTATAGTAATAAATGGCAAATTGATATATTAAATATAGCAATTGTTAATTCGCAAAAAAAGATGCCAGAAAAACGTAAGCCTTGATGTCCATACCATGTGATTCCTGGTGTCGTAAAGCAGATGTCTCATAATCGTTGCTTGAACGCTGGCGGACTCCCCGTCCCCTTCGCCCTCTATGCGACCGCCGTATGGATCTAGAAGTGCCACAGTCACGAACATTAGTCGCGGGTTTTTTATAGCCAGCAATAATGTTGTTTAACTCATCGTCTCCTGATGTTAATACAGTGGAACAATGGCCTATCGAGGCAGTTGATTGTAGCCGAGATTGCGCATTCAGAAGTAATTCATCACTTGAGTCGGCTGCTGGATCAGCCCGTCGGGCCTCGAGAGCACAGAGCTGCTCGGGAGTAAGTGACCATGAGTAGAGAGGATCATGCAGCAAGACCTGAGGAGAAATAAAATAAGGGAAGATGGACTTATTATTTTCCAAAATTTAATAATTGAAATTAAAACATATTAAATCAATATTTATATTTATATCTATAGTATAACTGTATCTGTATAGTATAACAATAGATATGCGAGAACAAGAACAATTGAGCAGCAAACTCGATAACTCCCTATAAATAATTTTTTAAGTGGTATTATTTTGAAAAAAAGCTGTAATCGCTGTCGCACAAGGAAAGACTGAGTTCAATTTTCATGAAGCTGTATGAGTATGCCTCACGATGCTAACGAAACTAACTTGACCCAGGCTTACAACAGGAACCAAACCCTGATATTGTAGCATGTAACCACTGTGTAACACTGCCAAGGGTACCAGTTGCAGGGTAGATAAGAAGAGCAAGTCTGGCGCCTCCTTAACAATCACGTATGCCCTGTGAAGAATGATGACATAGCAAAGGTCGCATGATGTCTTCTTCTCAGGACTCTAGAACTTCTTCCTTCGGATTGCAGTGAGGGTTATAAACAATAAAAGGCAACATATGGATCATGATGAGCAGATGGTAGGATGGAGATTATGGAAGGAAATCAAAGGAAACAGAATAAAAACGATTGATATGTCTACTCTCCTGCTGACTGGCTCGAAAGCTATGGCTGCTATTGGTGAAACGGAATATTCGTACAAAGGACAACCCTCTTGACAAGCTTGCCCACACAACAAAGAATTTGACAACATGGAGTAATCTGGAGTATAGCGTATAAGCTTCAAGGGTTTAAAAAAAAGTACGTCAGAGAGATTGGAAAGATAATCAGAACAATGATCAAAGAACACCAGTG